GAGGCTGCTCTTGCCAATGCCAAAACGTGCCAGACCCTGGGGTTGAAGCTCAAACGAAGGTTGTCTTGAAAATAGGCCAAAAATGGCCTGAGCTAAAACCCTGGTTTGTTGCCTGAGTTTCAGGGCGGGTCGAACTGATGAGGGCCTGAAAATGGCCCTCAGTTTCAGGCTGAAAAGACTCAGGAACGGAAAGGCCCTGATTTAGGCTGAAACGACACAGGGCCTGTAGGCCCTTGTTTTCAGGCTTTCAGGCTGAAACGACACAGGGCCTGTAGGCCCTTGTTTTCAGGCTTTTGGGCTGAAAACGACACGGGCCTGAAAATGGCCCGTGCGGCCTGTTGCAGGCGCAGCATGTAACACTGGCACTGCTATTCTTCCCAAACTACCCACTCACATCACCATCATCTCTATCACCCCATGGCTAGACAACCACCCTTTTCACTTTGCTGCGTGCCCCCTGGAGTGTATAGAGTGCCACAATCGCAAATTCCACAAGATCTCCACGGGACACCAGGAGGCTACTGCTTAAAACACCCTGGAAGCCCCCATTTCTTCCATGTGCTCCCAAAGAGCAGCCCGTGGGAATGACACCCACAGCAAACACTCTCTGAGCCTCCTTACGAAGATACCATGGCCAAAACTCCAAACGTACATTCCCACCCGAAAAAAACTCATGCCCACCCACAAACATTCATTCATCAAAGAGACAGCCCATGATCTAAAACCGGGCAAAGAGTTTGTAATAAAGAGAACAACCAACAAAACATCCAACCACCAATGCAGAATAGATAGCAAGACTGAAATGTGTGTTTCGGAAAAAAACAAACTCTCTCCTTCCATCCACAAATCATCACAAACCATCCATAAAATAAAAAGAAGAACAGATGGGCAATATAGTAGAAGATGCAAGGTTGCCCACGTTTGTGTGGTTAAGCGCCAAGTGCCCACACACCCGTCTGCTGCCGAAGCGGCACACTTGCACAAATATATTATAGTCCAGGGTTGCATACCCGCCGACCATATAGCAGCCGACCAATAGGGCCAACCCGTCGGCGGTCTGCCGATCAGTCAGAAAACCGCCATCTACTTATTTTTTTTCAAATCTGAGTTGGGGGCTGTACTGCGCTTGCTGAGTACAGCCCAAATCCGCTGAGAAACGTTTGGGGATGAGGGGGGGTATGGGTGTTTTGGGGGGGGAGCATAGGGGAGGTATAGGGGGATGTTATGAACTTGGTTGTCTGACGAATTTTATTGCCACTCACACTCAGACAATCTCACACATGCCCATACATGCATAAGAGAATGGGAGAGAGGAGACAGAGCCCAAACCGCACACAGGTGAAAATAAGCAGCGGAAGACAATCATGCACAGATGGGGAGAAGACACACAGTGTTTCTCACTCTCTGACACAACTCCCAACAACCAATCACAAGAAAGAACCTGCGAAGATCACAATTGGAATTCACACTGATGATGAGCCACTCAAACAAATTATTGTAACAGAGTTTGTTCCAGTATCTCGCCACTCTCAGAACTCACACCCCACTCTCTATCCTACACCCAGTTAGTAGCGCCACATCAGATTGGCCTCCCAGAGGCCAGCGCCAACCACCCTGATGAAGAACAGGTCCTGCGATGAAGTCTTCAGTGCCGATGGACAACTCTGACGAAAGAACAGGCAGCTATGGCTGCCACCACCCACGGGTACACAGTGTAGAGCCTCGATGTAGCCCGGCCAGACGCAGATACCCCAGGGGTAGATGCGCTGAGGATGCCCCAGCTATGGCAGACTCAGACTGGGCCGGCTATGGCTGCTGTCAACAGCGAGGTCTCAGGATGCCGCCTGCAGACCGTCACCGCCACCAACTTGCTTGGCTTCTCCAACGCTGCTTCGCCATGAACCGCCAAAAGTCCTGAACGGATGGGCCTAACCTATCTATAGACTACACTAGACCTAGACCGGACTGACTGACCGACCGGTACCGTTGCTGTTTCGGCCTCTCGGCCTCTACCGGACCCGGCTATAGGCTATAGGACCGTCTATCAGTATAGGCCACTTAGGGCCTGTCTGTCCTAGGGTAGCCCGGGCCTGCTATACGCAGTTAGGGTAGCTGTGGAATTCGAGTTAGTGCTGGGCCTATTTTTCCCCAGATTTGCAGATATATCCCTCACGAATTTCCTTACAGGTAGGTCTCTTGGTTAGCCCTCAGCCAAACGAAATTACGAATCTGACCTAAACTAGGACCCGACCGAGGCGAGGTCCACGCTTCACCCTCGGCCTACTGTACAGTCCACTGAGAATCTCCAGGTTTCATTACAGGGATATAGGGGTGGTATAGGGGGTATTGGGGGSGGGTATGGGGGTGTTGGTGGGGTTATTAGGGGTTCTGGACCCAAAAAAAAAAAAAAAAAGCTTTTAGCCTTTTATTTATTTATTATTATTTTATTTTATTTTTCGGGGTGCCAACGACCCCCCAACCGATAGGTGCCAACCAGCCAACCGGTCGGCTGGTCGGCATCCGACCAGTGTAGGGCCGCCGACCGTCAGGGTATGCAACCATGTTATAGTCTATAAAAGGATGGAGGGCATAAGGCAACATTCTTAACGAACACTACAGAACACAAAAATCTGGTTGCACAACTACAATAACACTCACACTGCTATTCATGTGTGTTTTATCCCATGGGCCTGGTACTACATCTGTGTCGTGTGTGGACTTTGTGCAGTGGGAAGGAAGCCCTGCGGTAGCGAAAATCAATTGGCAGCGCCCAGTAGGCAGAAAAGGACAAAAGGGTAGTACCTTCGGGTAGGCCGAAATAGTGCCCTGAGGTCCAGTAGGTCTAGGCGTAGGTTCTGGTAGGTACCGGCCTGAAAAGAGTCCAAGTCTAGGGCCTGCCGGTAGGATATCAGACAGCAATGATGTTCCTGCCAACAAAGGAAGGGAACTGGTAGGGCCTAGAGGCAGCGCAGCCTGGAAAGTGACTGCGGAGAGGGCAGCGGCCAAAGTATATGAGGAGTGGTGAGTTGCTCCACCTCATTCTGCGTGTGGCCAGGCAGCAATGCTGCTGGATCGTGGGCTTGGTGAGCGTAGCGCCAAGCAGCAGCAGCAAGATGGAGTTGCTGCCCGCCCTGGCTATGGTGTTTGCTGGCAGGGCGAGGTAGGAGAAGGGTGTGACTATGGAGGAGACGGGAGGGAGGAAGGAGGAAGAAGGAGGAGGAGAGTGAAGGAGAAGGCTTACCTTGGTGATGGTGGACCCCATCTTCTTCTCCTTGGTTTGCGCTGCACCTAGAAGGCCCCTGGATGGGGTTCCGATGTGTGGACACTCCGGATGGTGAAGTAGGCTTGGCAGGTGAAGAGGGAAGAGCCATAAGAGCTTTGCGTTGTCCTTTGAACATCCAGGCCAGGCCTCGATGAGCTGTCATAGGCAGATGCTCAACCAAGTAGTGGTAGCAGGTGTAGGAGGTCATAGGTGGACTTCTTGTGAGGCTGGCAGTAAGGGGGAGATTAAGACATTTGATTCTGGTACATTCATCTACATCTGCTGCATTCTATTATAGTTCTTCAGGTTGGGTGTAACGCTAGTTTGCGACTCATCCCGACCAGATCCTGCTGTTCTGTGAAATCGGCCGTCAAATAAGCAGCAGGTTTTCCGGGCTCTTTTGACTGTCTTCCGGAAAGCACGAATAGAAAAGCGGGCTGCCCTGGCTCCGACCTAATGTGGACAGTCGATAAACCTAAAGCGGGGTGCCAAAGAACCTAGAGCGGACACCGCAAAGCCAAAGCCAAAAAAGAAACTGAAGTGGACACTGTGAGCTATATTTTGTGGTGGTGTATTTTCCCATGTTCTAGCTAAGGTTCATTCCCAGTTTGCACATTTGGTTACTGGTGGAGCGAGGCCCATGAACACTCTGCATGGCCTTGGCGCGCAAGCTTTTACTCTGCTTTTGTTTTCTGGTGAAGTGCAAACGGGCTTTGGGCCTTGCTCAACTACTCAATGTTCGACATGTACCTGTGCAGTATGAAGCCCAGATACATTCAAACTGATTCAACATTTTGAAAGTACCGGGCCCACACAGAGTTACATATTCTTTTCGAATGCCTTGTAGTGGAGCAAGGCCCTTTGTCCAAACTGGTGTTGCTTCCTGGCCAGCAAAACGGGCGTCGCACGGCATGCAAAGTGTGAAGTGCAAACAGCTTTGCGTGGCAAAGACCAAACAGGTGTGGTGTGACGAAGTGCAAACGGGTGTGGCAAAGCTCTCTCTCTCTCTCTCTCTCTCTCTCTCTCTCTCTCTCTCTCTCTCTCTCTCTCTNTCTCTCTCTCTCTCTCTCTCTCTCTCTCTCTCTCTCTCTCTCTCTCTCTCTCTCTCTCTCTCTCTCTCTCTCTCTCTCTCTCTCTCCACACACACAAAAAAAATAAAATAAAGAAAAATGAGTGCTCTGTGTCTGTGTTCATTCTCTTTGTCTGTCTGTCGGTCAGCCGCTCAGTCGTTGGTTGGTGGGTCAGACGTCTCATCTGAGCACTGCCTTGTGTGCCCATTGGGCCAGGCTTCCGCTGGGGCATGATATCATCGCCAACTGGCCAAGAAGCACTTTTGGATAGTGAATGGTTGCACTCCAATCGAATTACAGGTCATTTCTGTAAATGCTTCCTCAGAATCCTTGCTTATACCTTCCTTAATATTCTTGTGTTTATACAATGGCTAATCTGGTTACTTGCTCCTTCTAGGCCTGGCCTTAATATGCCAATGCAATGTATGCATGCCTTTGACAGATATTAAAAATGTTCAAACTGCAAAGGGTTCTCGACAAAAGTAGTTCAAGAATGCATGTTAACACTAATACACATTCAAGTTCAAGATAAACTCACATCAGAGGGGTAGATGAATTAACAACAGTTAAGATGAGCTGGGGTGAAAGTGAAGCCCCTTGTGGGAAAGTTCGCCTGACAGCAGCATGGCTATTAATATGTCATCTGTTGACCCAGTTTATTTAACCCGTGTGCACGTTAGGGCAGCTGACAGCAACCGTGCTTACTTCTACCAAGCATTATTTTGCAAGGGCATCAACCAGCTGTAAGCGCCTGTTAACGCCAAGTCCAAGATCGACTCGTTCTTAATGCAATGTGCAACTTGCCTCCAAACAGACCGATCACGTGACCAACGAATGAAGTGAACCGGGGTGTGATTGAAACCCGTTGTGGAATATTCCAAGCATGCATGCTTGGCTTTTTGTTTCTTTGCTTTTTTAATAGCGTGTATTCATAAGAGTGGAAAATGGGTCCAGTGTCCCTCACATCTGGTACACACACAACCCCTCCTCATGTTGAAGAGCCCCTGAGACAGCGGCATTGCTTACTTCCTGTAGAAAAGATGCGGTACTACTGCTCCATCCCTTGCTTCCTTTCCCCTTGCCTAGCCTAATCCCTGGGAAAAGCCACCTTCCGTATTTGGGTGGTCCCTCTAAACTTCTAAAGACCACTGACGTGGGCTGCCGGAATAGACAATCGAAACCAGGACTCTCCAAAGTTGACCTCTGGCCCTCTGGGTAAAAAAAAAAGAGTAGAAACGTTTCTAGCCGGATGAATTTGGGCGCTCCTGTAGTAGCCCGTACGTTTCCTAAAATCGTGGCGCGTTAACGGGCACGACTCAAGGAAGTACTGGTGGTTTAAAGAAGACCTCTGTAAACCACCACTAACTCTGAGCCTCTCTGAGCCTCTTTTTGTCGTCAAGGCGGAAAATACTGCGTGCCAAGCTTTGCCAAAGCGCCAGCATGACGTTTTTTTGTTTTTTTTTTGGCTGATGCTGCAAGCCATTTTGGTCAGGTAGCACTGTTCACCCGAAGAATGCAGTTTCTGGCGTATTGGTGTTTCGAGTTTGCCTGTGAAAGGAAGTGGTGGTTTATGTGAAATTTAAAATTTGACTAGGAAGTTTTTTATGCCCAACCAGGCACCCGGGATACCCGGGCGTGCAAAAAAAAAAAAAAACTTTTTTTTTTTTTTTTGCCTTTCTGCGCTCTCCCAGAGGACTCCAAATCCAGGCTCTTTTCAATTTCTGAGAGTTGTCTGTCAAGGGGGGGGAAGGGGGGTATAAATTTGTTTTAAGGGGGCTAAGGGGGTTTAAAGGGGGGTGGCTTAGTGTGATTTTGTTATTTTCTTTTTTATCTCCGATTGGGTGAGGAATTCTGATGTGACCCTCAACCAAAAGTTGTTTGTATTGCAATTCTACACAACATTTTTTTCTTTCTGGATTTTTTTTCACTTTCGTTTTTTATTTTTTTTGCGCTGGGAACCCTGCCCGGAGGTCATGCCCGGCCGGGCACCCGGGCGTGTATCCAGGCACAAGTTGGGTACCCGGGTGCCTGGAAAAATAGCCTAGAAATTTGAACAAAAAAAAGGCCCATTTTTTTCTGACGCTGTCCCTATGCTGAGTGAGATTGCCTATCCTGATTCCGTTTTTATCTTTGAGGGCTACTGAAGTTTTTATCATGACCTTCCAGTGAGATTTCTATTCCTGAAATATACGAGCTAGGTTACCCATTTAAATTTTAAATGCACSCCYCCCCCCCCCCAAAAAAAAAAAAAAAAAAAAAAAAAAAAAGCCCCATTCGAACATCCGTCTCCACCATTAAATTGAACCCTTGCTTAGCAATTTTCAGTATGCAAAGTTCACGCCCCCCCCCGCGTTCTGAATTTGCAAACCTTGTTAATCTGGGCAGTGAACATGTTTGCTGTTGGCACTACTGCAGCCTGGAGATAAGCTTCTGGTTATCTCAAGAGATGAGGACAGCTACAGTTTGGATGGTCCACACGGCCCAGCAGTTCTGGGAGAAGGAAGTGGAGTAGGAGCAGCCATGGGTGATATCAAGCAATGGAAACCCAAGAAACAGAATCAAAAACAGAAGCCAATTCGGATGTTAATTTCAGGATGGAAGAATGACATCTGCAGCATCCTGTCTGTCCTTGACCACTCCCTTCCTAAAGGTGAGAATTCCACCTGATTATGATTGTCCTGTTTCTCCTATTCTCTGTTTCTGTCAATGCCTTCGCAAGAGCTTTACCAGGGGAGGGGAGGGAACGGGCACCTGTTTTCTCCAGGTAGAAGCTTGAACTACAGACAGCACAGATCAGTACTAAAGTGCAAGGAAGAATGAAAGTGTTAGGACCACCTACCTGTATTTGCAACTATTTTGACTCCTGCGAGCCTCCAGGAGGCACAAGTGCAGCAATTCAGACATCTTCGCCGAATTGCTGGACACAAAGTGGTGGCCAAAACTGCTTCAAAATGTATCCTATTTAGAATCTCAAAAGAATCTAGTCTTATTATATGGTCAATATTAGTGTACTTCGATTAATCACAAACGTTGAAGGCTTCCGTTACTATGACTGGAAATCTGGTCCAGTGTCCCTTACATCAAGTATACACTCGACGATTCCCTTCGTTATGGTTAGACCGCCAGTACCTCCACGTTCTTAGGTCGTTAACGCGGTGGCTGAATCAGTGCACCGTGTGGGTCCATATGCATTTGTGTCAGAGCCTCCCCAGAGGTGGCCTAAGAACCCCTGGGGTACTGGTGGTTTAAACCGTCAGTACCTTTACCGGCTTCTTCTTTTTCCCACCTCTGGCATGCTCGGAGGCGCTCCCACAGGCTCGTCACAGCTTCGGGGCCCTGCTCCAGTACTGACTGCGTGCAAGAAAAGAAAAAGAAAGAAAGGTGGAGTATCTTCCCACGATCTTGCTAGAAAATTAAAAAAAGAAAAGGCGGAGTCTCTTCCCACTACTCTCTACGTGCAAGAAAAGACAAAAAAATAAGGCCCCGCTCCACTACTCACGACAAGCACACCCAGGACAAAATAATAAGGCGGTGTATCTTATCTTCAAGTTCTAGCAGAAGATTCATTCTCATTTTGGTTGTTCGATGAGTGGTGGACCGTTGCCCTGTTTGTCAGTCAGTACAATAGGGTCAAGGCCTCTACTGACCGCCATCTCATCTGATCTGTCTTGATGATAGACTGGAAAGCCTTGTCTGCCCTTGTCCTATCGACAAAGCAGTTTTTCGCCCTTTCCAACAAGTTTCTGAGTGCTAAGCTTGTTCCCCAATACCCATTTTGTGTACTTTCGCTCATGTGTGGTTCCAATTTTGTACATCGTGTCATGGCTGTGATGGTCAAGAGACCTGGCTCTTGTGGCTGAGGATGCTGGTTCAGTTTTGTGCCTGCATGGGTGGGTCCAAGGCCTGACAAAGTACCGACTATACTCAAGCCCGGTAACCGGCCTGGAAATTGGCCTGTGGGTAAAGCCCCGTTTGCATGATGGTCGTCTGCTGGATTGGAGCGAAGTGCGCGAGAATTGCCTGTGTAGCGTTGTGTGTGTGTGTGTGCGTGTGTGTGTGTGTGTGTGTGTGTGTAAGGACACTGCAGCCATGCAGGGGCAACCGGTATGGTTGTCATTTTATACACCGTGTCACGGCTGTGTTGGTTAAGAGAGTTGACTCTTTTGGCTGCGGGTGTCAGTTCAAAAGGATTGGTCCGACGCCGAAGAATGTGCTGACCACGACTCAGCCGCCCTCCCCTAAAGAGGAAGAGGCAACGAGTACTTGCAAAGAAAGGACTAGTCTCGATGCCAAGATATAGGTTCTAACTCTGCAATCGAGGTAAGTAAGTCCTCCAGTGGATGTGCTTGGCATCTTCATCTTGATGTTTTGCTCCTCCTCCTCCTCCTTCCTTCCTTCCTTCCTTCTTCTTAGGACTCTCAGGCAGAGTGGGGCCTGCATCACCACCATTGTCATTATCATGATCATCTCCGTCATCCCCGTCGTGTCCTCCACGTCTTTTCCTCCCCATGGCTACCGTACTTTCAGGGTGGTCTTTGTTCTCCTCCTGCAACTTCTTTTTTTTTTTTTTTTTTTTTTTTTTTTTA